AGAAAAAAACCTGCCATTTACTGCTGAGTTGGAACAAACGTCAAACCACAGAAAGCCCAACTGATGTCTGTTCTGATTCAGCAGTAAACAAAGGGTTTTCCCTGGGAAAGCGGGGGGGGGGGGCAAAAAAGAAATCCTCTCAGACCTGTGACTTGAAATCATGGAACAAAAAATAGCGTAGATGGGCCTTGATACAGATATGTAGCATATTTAACATCATAGAACTGTAGACCTGCAATGGACCCCAAGAGTCATCTAGTGAAATCCACTGCAGTGTAGGAATCACAGCTGCATTTAATCATTTAGTTTAATCATTCACAGTAAGAATATAAAAAGACCCCTGCAAAGTCCATCCAACAGCCTGCTTCCCATTGTGGCCAGTGCTTTATAAAAAGGTACATAGTAGAGTTTAAGGGAAATTAGGCTGTATACAGTAAGAATAAAGGTCAAACGTGAACATACACACACACACACACACCCCCACACACACCTGCACAAATTGTTCAATCTGGTCAAATTATCAGTTTGTCTTCAAATTATGTAAATATGCAACTCAACTGTAAACAGAAAGCTAAGGTTGCATCCTGCACTTACAAAGTAGCATTTACAGGAAAAAATCAGTAGCAAAAGAGCATATACAATTTTAAAAACCTGAGCACCAGACCTTAATATTTTTCTTGCCAAAGGGAACATAAACAAGACACTGACATAGAAAGACTTTGTTGCAACCCCCCCAACCCTGAAATATTGAAATGCATAATAAATTTATCAGAACAAAGAAATTACTATACAAAATATATTTCCTATTTAGTTTTCCTTTATAAAAAGGTGCTTTGCATATAGGTAAAACTGATTATAAAGCCTCTCCTTATTAAAAAAAAATGTATTTCAAGTTTAGCATTAAAACACATTGATATAAACATTATTAGTGCATTTTTTTGTTAATCAGTTCTCTATTGCCTTTTGTATTAAAAAAAAAAGTTCTTTAATGCCCGGGGGGATGCTGCGTTTACACAAACCGGATGATACTGCCCCCCCTCTTTTCTGTGGGGGTGTTGTCAATGGGGGCACATTCACAATGAAAACTAGTACTCTCCAGCTGAAGGGGGAAATGGCACTGACACAAGAAGAAAGAGGAGGGTTAAATGAACATTCAGCCCTCCCACCACCCAGGCATCTGGGTAAAATTATGCTTAACACACTGTGTGCAGCTACTTTGTGTGTTTTTCTTAGTTAAGCACAGTAATAGGGATTGGTATTGGGATCACAGCATGTCAGGAAATGAAATTTATTCCTTCCCTTCCCAACCACAACCCCATTACTTCCTGGGTCATGGTAAGGTATTATGTATTGACAGGGATGCGGGTGGCGCTGTGGTCTAAACCACTGAGCCTCTTGGGCTTGCCAATCAGAAGGTCAGTGGTTCAAATCCGTGCAACGGAGTGAGCTCCCATTGCTCTGTCCCAGCTCCTGCCAACCTAGCAGTTCGAAAGCACGCAAGTCAAGTAGTTAAATAGGTACTGCTGCGGTCAGAAGGTAAAGGGCATTTCTATGCGCTCTGGCACTCATCACAGTCCTCCGTGCGCCAGAAGTGGTTTAATCATGGTGGCCACATGACCTGGAAAGCTGTCTGTGGACAAACGCCAGCTCCCTCGGCCTGAAAGCGAGATGAGCGCCACAACCCCAGAGTCGCCTTTGACTGGACTTAACCTTCCAGAGGGGTCCTTTACCTTTACCTTCATGTATTGACATACTGGGTTAAAAAACAACAACTTTTAGCATTCATGTTTGTCACCTGTATTCTTACAAAAGTCTGGGGGGAAAAGCAATAAATTATGCATTATAAAATTTCTCTACAAGAGCGTGTGTGTGTGCGTGTGTAAAATCTGTAACAGCTTGGGATCAGTTCACTTGGGGAATTGCTGTGTCCTGTCCATGCCTACTTGACTGCTTCCTGAATATTTTGGGAGCTGGTCTTTCAGTGTGACTTTGGAACTCCCTGCCTATTGGCATTGTCTTGTTGTATTGTTGTATTGTCTTGTTCTATTGTTTTAGACAGCTGCTGAATTTTTTTAAATTATTATTTCAACAAGCCTACCCAGACATATAATTTAATTACCTGTATATCTGAACAGTTTTACTGACTCTATCCAGGTCTTAATGATAATTATTTTATGCATCCTTGGTTTCAATAGTTTTGTGGATTTTAACTGCGTTTGAGCTACAATTTTATGATGTGCACTGCTCAGAGAGCTCTTTCATTAAACAGTTTACATATCTTTCTAATGAAAATAAAATAAATAACAAGCGAATCTCCTGCAGCTATAATTAAGTTTACAGTAGCAATTAACAAGAGATGTAGCTGCAGACTATGTGTTAAGTATAAATGTGTAGTTTGACCCTCAGCATCCATAGAAGATCCTGTTATGAAAGCATCAGTAACGTTTTTTGGGGAGATGACCTTTCAGAATAACCCTTGGGACTCTGCCTGGGACACGCCTCTTCCCAAGCCACGCCCCCATACCTTCCAACATTTCTCGGATGAAAATAGGGACATCCTAGCCTACATCAGAAAGCTTCTCCCACATTTCATCTCACTGCACACATAAACATCATATACACATATACATTTGTCACCTTGAGCCAATTACAACCTCTCTGCTGAACGTACCTCAAAGGATTGTTGTAAAGAAAAAATGTTCAAGGGAAGGGATTGTGCACAAAGCCTTCAAAAAGATAAATGCAATAAAATTTTAGAAAGAAGTTGCCCTGAGTCCTTATCGGGGGACAACCACCACCACCACCGAAACTGTGAGAATGATCAGTAACATAAAGGTAAAGGTAAAGGGACCCCTGACCGTTAGGTCCAGTCATGGCCGACTCTGGGGTTGCGGCGCTCATCTCGCTTTATTGGCCGAGGGAGCTGGCGTACAGCTTCTGGGTCATGTGGCCAGCATGACTAAGCCTCTTCTGGCGAACCAGAGCAGCGCACGGAAACGCCGTTTACCTTCCCGCCGGAGCAGTACCTTTTATCTACTTGCACTTTGATGTGCTTTCGAACTGCTAGGTTGGCAGGAGCAGGGACCGAGCAACGGGAGCTCACCCCATTGTGGGGATTCGAACCACCGACCTTCTGATCAGCAAGTCCTAGGCTCTGTGGTTTAACCCACAGCGCCATCCGTGTCCCAATCAGTAACATACCAGAGAGTAAATTCTATTGAACTCAGTGGGACTTACTTCTGAGTAAAAATGTTTAGCATTGCAGTGTAAGGCTGCCCAGTCTTCACTCAGTTACCTGGGAGTAAGTTCCATTGAATACAGTGGGACTTACTTCTGAATAGAGATGAAAGGCTTGCAGTGTAAAGCTCAATTTATAATAGAGGAATCCACACTCCCTGCGTTTCCTGAGAAATGGCTGGCTACTGAAGCACTGCAATTAAATAATTTAAAGTGGGTTGGCGACATTTTTCTTCAAAATTATAGGAAGGGCTTTGTATGCCAGCCTCGCCGTTTCCTTCATTTGGTGCAGGTATTTTATTGTCAGTATAAACAGGACTCCATCTTTGCACCAACATACACACACACACAACACTTTTAATTGTTCTCTGAGACATGGAGGGGAGGAGGAGGAGGAAGAAGAGGAGGAGGAGGAGGAGGAGGAGAAGAAGAAGAAGAAGAGGAGGAGGAGGAGGAGTTTGGATTTGATATCCCGCTTTATCACTACCCAATGGAGTCTCAAAGCGGCTAACAATCTCCTTTCCCTTCCTCCCCCACAACAAACACTCTGTGAGGTGAGTGAGGCTGAGAGACTTCAGAGAAGTGTGACTGGCCCAAGGTCACCCAGCAGCTGCATGTGGAGGAGCGGAGACGCGAACCCAGTTCACCAGATTACCACTCAGCAGAAACCAGGGTGGCTTCTGTAATTCTGGGACTGTCTCTGGAATATTGGAACTATCGGAGGGCATACTCCCCAATGGACTGGCTCCAAGCTGTTGATGCCTTTTTCTGGTTGGAATGAGTCCTTGCCTCTTGCTTGTTCAGATGAAGGATGGAGAGGTTTGTGGGATATGTGAATGTTTTGTCTGAACCTCTGATTTTTAGTGTATGAAGACAAGACTTGCTGCTGCACCCACTTTTGCCTCTGTCTCTGCCCACCACTAGCATGTGGCGGCCAGAAAATTGCCCGTGATGAAATGTGGCCCTCAGACTAATAAATCACTCCCTGTCCCTGTTCTAAAGGCTGCAAAGAGTGGCCCCCCTCTGGAATCTCCTTAAATGTCTTCCACTTGCTTCTACACCCCAGTCAATGCAAGCACAGTGCAGAATCAGATTACTATTAAAGTATTCAATGGGCAGAGGGCTGAGTACCATTCATACTCAGAATCAGAGAAATGACAATGAGAGCATCACCTGAAAGAGAATGATCCAGACAAGGATCAAGTCCTCAAAGGGATTTGAGAAACAAACAGTGGTTTGGTGGGAGACAGATAATCAATGGAGCTTCGCACGATTCAAGATGATGCGCTCTGCTGGATAACTGCCCAGCCGTCGCCCTGGCTTTAAGCCAAGGTGTCTTATGCTGTCAAATCCAGTCTTTGGCCTGCGGGGCTACTAGTTAGTTTCCCCACACTTCACCACCTGGCAGGATCTGTAACCAGAGGAAGGAACTCTAGCTTTGAACTCTCAATCTAGCCTCAGGGTCTGCTGAGTCAAAGCTCAGGCCAATTCACTCTCAGCAAACCACCACAACACAGCTGCCATGGTTGATCTGGCCCTTGAGATAGTTAAGGATGTGCTCTCAAATTGTCATAATTTGGGGACATAGAAAGGATCACACCTTTGGGCTCAGGGTTGGGGTGGAGGAGAAATTTGATGCAGTGTGGATGTGAAGCCAAATTGATCAAACTCACACAAAAGAATACTAGAACCGAAACATAGATATCGTTCAAAATTCACACCTATCTGAATTTTGCATTGCAGTTCTCTAATGTTTACAAAGATGCATATATTAGGGGAATGTTTGCACACTATATATAGAGTGCAAACATTCCCCTAATATATCTGATACTTCCTAAAAAAAATAAAAATCCTCATGAACATTCTTCAGCATATTAGTGCAAAGTTCTCCTATTAAACTTCTTTCAATATGCAATTTTGACTAATGCACAATTTTTGCATGTTTGTATGTTTAATAGGAGAACTTTGCACTAATATGCTGAAGAATGTTCATGAGGATTTTGTTGGGGTTTTTTTAGGAAGTATCAGAGTGAGAGAAGAAATATCTCCTCCCCACCAGCCCCAGAACCTCACTTTCCCAGAATCCCCCTCTGCATCAAGAACCAAGCTGCCTACCGCCTCCCTGGACTGAGCAGGTATGTTGTCATCCTTTGAGGATTCCAGACTGGTCTCCCTCACAGTGTTGGAGCCAACAGATGCTGAAGCAGAAAGAGGCTGCTCCCATTGAAATCAGAAGCCATCACCCAGACTTGTCCAAAGTCCAAAGTCTGGGATTATCTGTTGCTAAAGCAACATTTCAATATGCTGGTATGAATCTCCCACCTGAGAAATTGATTTTGCCTTGCCTCAAGTTTGCTTTGCCTGAGATGGAACTTCCCTTCCCTGAGCCTGCCTTGCTTTTACTTGATATACTGAAACCTGAACCGTTGCCTAGAGCTCTTGCTGGAGCTCCATTAATGGAGACCACCACCTGAATCACACCAACCAAAACAGAAGAAAGCATCCTCTTGTTAGGCAATGTCCTTCTCTTTGCCCCCAATACAGTAGGATTCTTCAGGGTCCACCATGAAGAATGAAGAGGTCAGTTTTGCAGTCTATGGGTAAGACTATCAAGTTAGAGCTGGTGTTTCTGATCAATCCTCATAAAGACCATAACAGGGGCAAAGGGAAGAAGATGCTAAGAAAGCCAGAAATGGCTTCCACTATAACCTACATTTTCCCTCTTACTATCTAGTATGGCTGAAACGACCATAATTAATTATATACAGTAATTAATGTCAATGTATTTCAATGGGAGGGAAACACCAGAAACAATGCAGAAATTGTTTATGCAACACTTGCTGTTGAACTGGTATAATAGTGCTTTGACTGTATGGTGGCTTCTATTCGCATAACATTCTCCAGTATCTTCACCATTCTCTCCCTCCCATTCCATTTCCCCACCCCCAATATATCTCCTTCCATCTCAACATCGAAGCCAATGGGGCGGCTGGCCATTCTGAAACAAAATACAACCTGTCACCATCTAAATTTCAAGAGGGGCTGCACTGCAGCAAACCTCTAATAATTATCTGATAATATGACACCATTTGTCGGAACCGAGTCTATTTCACACTTGCTGCCGAATAGCTAAATGGAACAGTGCTCTGTTCCAGTTCTCTCCTTTGCCCGATTAATTAGATTTCAATTGCTCCTATGATAAATGCTCAATATGCCCATAGGATGCTAGCGAACAGTTTCTTCTCCTCTCCTTTTCCTTTTTAATTACACAAAGCATCTGTGACTCACTCCCAATGCTGTGCAACAACTGATAGCAGTTCATAGTCAGTCTACCTCTGGGTCTGATGTTTCTACGTAAGAACAAGGGTTTGACCGTGGTTCTTTCACAATGAACTAGAAAGATTGCTTCCCAATCCTGCACTTAGGTAATGCTGTACTCTGGACTTCACAGTCTTACTGCGGGCAGGGAGGACCCTTAAGATGGTAATGTGCAGCCCATTACAGTGGTACCTCAGATTAAGAACTTAATTCGTTCCAGAGGTCCGTTCTTAACCTGAAACTGTTCTTAACCTGAGGTACCACTTTAGCTAATGGGGCCTCCTGCTGCCGTTGCGCTGCCGCCGCACGATTTCTGTTCTCATCCTGAAGCAAAGTTCTTAACCCGAGGTACTATTTCTGGGGTAGCAGAGTCTGTAACCTGAAGCGTATGTAACCCGAGGTACCACTGTACATTCAAATGATATTGTGGGGAGGATATTTTCATTACTTCACTTACTTTAAATCGGGGTGGAGAACCTCAGGGGCTGAATGCAGTGGTGTACCTAGCTGCTCGGGTGCCTGGTGTAGTGCATGGGTCCTGCAGCTGGGGGCAGAGTGAGCTGCCCATGGGGGCAGGGCGAGCCAAGGCAAGGCACGCTGCGTGGAGCCTCTCCGCAGCCTCCCCCTCAGCTGTAGGGCGGCTGAGGCAGTGGGCAGACATAAGCAGTGCAGAACCTTCAGGCAGTCCGCTCGCTGCCTCCCCCTCAGGTGAGATACGTGGCTCAGGCACGCTGCAGGCCCTGTGGTGTGGCGCCCTGTGCCCCCAGCCTCACCTAGCTACCAGTGGCGTAGGAAGGGGGTGTGGTGGGTGCAGGAGTTTTTTGGGGGGGAAGTGTCATGAGCCCCAATTTTTAAATTTTATTTAAAAACACATATTTTTGCCATTCTGTCACCCCCCCTCAGTGATGGCACCCAGGCAGGACAGACCACACACCCCGCACCCCCCTTCCTACGCCACTGGCTGAAGGCAACCCTCCCAAGTCCCAGGCCTTTCTATTTGGCCCTTAGGACTCTCCCAGTGTCACACCTTCTCACTTGGCCACACCCCTCAGCGATCCTGTTTTGCACATTCCAGCCAGGCTAAAACACTAAAGGGAAGCCCAGTTATAATCACTATCCCAGGATCATGTCTGCACACAGAAGTATCTCATGGGGTTGGGCAGAGAAACTAGGCTAGCTTTTCCAGCAAGTGGGCCACCTTTGCTCACCAGGACAGAAAGGGACTCTTTAGAAGTATAGGCTTCATTCACAAGTTTTGCTTGTATGAAAATAAGATTTCATTTCGTTAAAAAATAAAATAAAATAAAATAGCGGAAATAAAATGTTCTTTTCAAATCTGTTTTTTTTATTAAAAAAAATAATAAGCACCCATATTTAAACAACAGTCCTTTTATTGAAACAACATTTACAAAATTAAACAAAAAGACTCCATTAAATTAGGTAGTTTAAAAACAAATCTTCTGCCTTCTTCATTTGTTTGGCTATGGCCGAGAGAGCAGGGACTGAAATGCATTATTTATTTATTTATTTATTTATTTATTTTTATTTATGGCATTTGTATGTCATCCAATGATGGCATCAGTATTTTGTGGGAGGGTTTCAAGAGCATTCCAGAAATTTATGCTTGCTCAGTTGGGTTTGCCCTGGGCCCTTTTCAGGAGAAACGGTGGAATATGCATTGAGGGAAGATAAATAAAAATAATAAAGTGGATTAAAGCTCTCTGTCACAACATACACATACAAACACATGGTTCTTCTTAATTTAAAAATGGACTGTATGCAGTTAGGAAAGGAAAGGGAAAATGCACCAAAAGTTGTGGGATAAACAAGCAATTTATGGGAAGACACACAAACACCATACAAGCAAACTAGAATGAATGCTCATTGTTTTGTAAGAAATAAAAACATATGAAAAACAGATGTGTTCTAACCTCTCACAAGCTTTGGGCAAGCAAGTCAGGGCAAATGTTAAATAAAAAGGTTCTCTAGAGGAGCCCTGGATGGTACACAATTAACCAGAGGCATCTTTTAAAATCAGATTTTAAAAGAAACAGTTAATCAAATCAGTGACTCATCTGAATATTGCAGCCCTACTCATTTTCATTTGAGGCCATGTGCCATTCATGACGCAACTGCTGTCCGAGAGGTCTGCCACGCACCAGCACCAGTGTCACAAAGCTTGTGGAAAGGTGCTAAATCAGGGTCTGGAGGCAAACAACCATTTCACAACACTCATATTCAATTCAGGCTGACACCGTGGATTGAAAACGAGCCCCCCAATCACTTAAACTGTCAGCCCTCAGAATTATGACTTCTCTTGGGAGCCTGATATCGGGCGGGGGGGGAGGATTATAAACACATTATAAAAATAGGGTATTTCCTCCCCTTCTGCTCCAATTGTTCTTGGCATTCTGATTTTACAAAATGACATGGCATGCTAACCTAGGCAGTTTTCTTTCATTTATACAGCATTAATTTAATTATCTCGGGTGCTTATTTTACATGTGTAAATATTTGAATACTCTTGTTCAAATCCATTGGAGTCGTTAGAAATCCCCAACTTGCTTTCTGCTTTTCCCACAGAAGGCAGTTCCGAATGAAAAAGAAAACTTATTTACAATCCTAAAAAGCTTTTGCTGTTGCCCTGACCCTTCTGGGAATTAGAAACTCGGTATACCATGTTTCGACAGAGCGTCGTAAACTCATGGCCTTGTTCAGCTCAAGTTTCTGGTTGTTCTGATTTTAAGAACATAAGTCCCTCCTGGGTCAGGTTAAAGGTCCATCTATTCCAGCATCCTGTTTTCAAGCATGACTGGAGTGCAGCAATGATTCAACTGGTTATCAGAGGGATAACCTCCTCTGATTGTGGAGGAAGAACATGGCCCCCATTGCTAGCAGCCACTGAAAGCCATCTCCTCCATGAATTTGCTTAGGTAAAGGTAAAGGGACCCCTGACCATTAGGTCCAGTTGTGGCCGACGCAGGTTGTGGCACTCATCTCGCTTTATTGGCTGAGGGAGTCGGCGTACAGCTTCCGGGTCATGTGGCCAGCATGACTAAGCCGCTTCTGGCAAACCAGAGCAGCGCACAGAAATGCCGTTTACCTTCCCGCCAGAGCGGTACCTATTTATCTATTTGCGCTTTGACGTGCTTTTAAACTGCTAGGTTGGCAGGAGCAGGGACCGAGCAACGGGAGCTTACCCCGTCGCGGGGATACAAACCGCGACCTTCTGATCGGCAAGTCCTAGGCTCTGTGGTTTAATCCACAGCGCCACCCGCGTCCCATGAATTTGCTTAATCCTCCTTTAATTTTATATTTTTAATTTTATTAAGTACAAATTAGAAAACATACATATTTACAACAAAAGAAAATACAAAAGAAAAAGTAAATATCCCTTTAAAGCCATCCAAGTTGAGGGCCACCCCTCCATCATGCAGGAGTGAATTCTGTAATTTAATGATATGCCGTGTGCACCTCCTTTCTCTGTCTTGAACCTTCCAACATTCAGCTTCATTGACTGGCTCTGAGTTGTAGCATTATATGAGAGAGGAAGGAGAAACCTCTCCCTACTAGGGATGTAAGAAGACACTGTTTTCTCTTCCACCCCATATTTGTCACCAGCAGAACTGTTTCCATTCTGCTGCAGTTTGTTTCCCACCCAAAGCTATGTTTATCCATCTCACTGTCTGCTGCGGCACAATTCTGTGACTCATGTTATTTGTGAAAGCAATCACAATAAATGGCCTTGTTATTCCATCCCATTCAATTCAATTAAAATGAAACACAATGCAAACGGGGAGCAAACAACCACATGATCATTTGCAGGCTGAAAGCAACAACAGCAAATGCCAACAGTATTCGCTGAGTTAATTTCCATTCTGGTACATGGGGTGAATAAGGGAACACCTGCAATTTAAGAATATAAGAGCACAAGCCTGCTGGATGAGGCCAGGAGCTCATCTAGTCCAGCATACAGTGGCCTAATAGGTGCCCGTGGAAAACTCACAAGCAGAATTTGAGCATGAGAGCACTCTGTCAGGTGTGCGTGCAGGAGCCAGGCCCTGTGACCAATAGGACTCTGCAGGACTGGGGCCTTCCTAAGTTTCTTCTGAAGAGGCAAGGCACGGCCTCACAGGTGAGGCCGATTGGTAACTCACAGCACCTGGTGGCAAGAGCTGGGAAGGGATATAAGGTCAGCATTTCCCTTCAGCTCTTTGCCACAGCAACATGCTCCCTGCCTTGCTGTGCTTGGCTTCTTGCTTCCTGATCCTTGAACCTCGGCTTCTTGACTCCTTGCTTCCTGACCCTCGGCTTCTTGACTCCCAGCTCTCTGACCCTCGGACTCTTGGCTTTCTGACTCCTGGCTTCTGGACTCCCGTTCCTGCTCCCACCCCGCCATCTTGCCCCTGGTCTTGACGTTCCCAGCCAGGACTTCGATCACCCGTGAACAGGACCGTGACACACTCTGCCCTCCTGTGGTTTCTAGCAGCTGGTATTCAGAAGGACTGCTGCCTCCATCGTGACCAGTAGCCATCAATAGCCCTCTTTTCCGTGCATTTGTATAATCCTCTTTTAAAATCATTCAGGTCCCTGCCTCCTGTTTAACCATGTGCTATGTGAATAAGTCGTTTCTTTTATTTCCTCTCCCACTTCTGTTTTTGCTTGAATTCTCTGACAGTCCTAGTCTCCATGCACTTTCTCGGCACCATAATTTCACACACCTCTATCATTTCCCCTCTTACTTGCCTTTTCTCCAAACTCAAAATTCCCCAAACACGGCTGGGGTCACACAGCCTCTGCCTATCGCTGACGAGCTTGGATCGAGCCCCGTCGACTCCTTGCTGCCAAAGAGAGACCTCATAATTGCTCTCATTCTGCTGATTCAGGAATGTAAGAACTTTCCCTGCCAGTTCAGCGTGTGCACCAGAAGGTTTGGGAGGCAAGTTGTGACATTTAAAAGGTGAAGAAACATCCTTGCTGAAGTCTGCTGAAATGGAAGCGTTAAAGGGGGGGTGCTGTGGAGTTCTTTTTGTTTCCCTCCCCACTGCAAAGAAGAAGAAAACCATCGTGAATTAATTGCATCATTCCTAAGAACATCCGGTGACCAGACAACCACAGTGTGGAGAGAATATGGCCATTAAGGCATCAAGCTTGGAAATATTAATTAAACTCAGCATCTTATTTATCCAGCAGCAGCCAGCTCCCTTATAAAGCCCAGGAGAGGCTCGGAGAACAGACAATGAATGACACTCTGAGTCCTAAGGGAAAATGACTTATGCTACTTGGCAAGCCTCTTCCTGATGTCGAGCTCAGTGCTGAGAGCATTAAATGAGCATCGTTTACATGCCCGGGAAGGAAGGGCAGGCACACTACCTAAGGGTGGGAAGTGGGTTAAGAAGGGTAAGCAAGCATAAATGTTGGCTGAAAATAAATCCATCTGTTATTCTCAAATATGAGGCATTGACATCGCCTTTAGGATGCATTCGATTTCTCTCTCTCTCTCTCTCTCCTGGAAAAATGTTCTTAGTTGGACACTTCTTAGTTGGAGGGATGGGGGAGATATTTGATCCAGTTCAGGTTTAAAGGCAAGCCTAGCTAATTTGCCCTTTCTCAAACGCTTTGTGAAACAAAGCACACCCATCCCCTGGAATCCACACTTCTCTGAATTTCGCAACGCAGCTCTCCAGCCAAGTAAAGTGTACCAAAATGCATATATACTAGTGCACAGTATGCATAAAATGTTTGGTTCATAGAATCGTAGAGTTGGTTTCCTCCATTCCCAGGATCTCTGCTGATCAGTGCCGGATTTACGTATAAGCTAAACAAGCTATAGTTTAGAGGCCCACTCTCTTGGGGGGGCCCCAAAAAATTTAAAAGGAAAAAAACTGGATGTACATTTCCAAAATATAAGATAAAAAAACAAATAAAATAAAACCTATATGCAGCAACAGTGCTTTGTGTTGTGCAGGCTCCTGTTTGTTATGTGCAAATGGCTTTAGATACCTATTAGGGCCATAAATTACCATATAGCATATATTCAACAAAAAACAGCGGCAATTTGTTGTTGGCAAAGGACAGCTGGACATATAAAGGGTCCCATTACCTTCAGTAGCTTAGAGCCTCATCAAACCTAAATCCGGCCCTGATGCTGATTAACAATGGTCCGCTCGTTCAAAATGAATGCAGATTACTACAAGAGTTAACCTAAAGGAGTGCTAAAGTACTAAAGGACAGACTTGTGCAGAGATTCTCCAGAGGATAACTAGTAAGTCCATTAAATGTGCTCTGATTTTTCTCCATTCCATGGGTAGGGAGAGCTCATCCGCTCATGCCAACTGGGTCAACTCCAGTAGATTTGACTCTGCTTGTCAAAGTTCTTCCGCGGGGTGCGTTGGAAGAGCAAACAGGAATAATAAAACACAGGAGCCCAAATCGAAACACACACATGATACAAGTGTTAAAATGACATGAGCAAAGTAATTGGTTGTATATGCAAATGATCTTGCTGGTGGCGGTGGGAAATGCCAAGAGCTCCTTCTAATTAAGGAAGGCTTTTAACAGTAATTTAGTTAGCAAAGTGTGGCTGGAATTGTTAAGAGGCGTTCAGAGTGAAATGCTGGTCAGGTTACTGATGGCAGAGGAGGTATGTTTTGTGAGAGGTGTCTTGAATATTAAAACTTGCTTGCATTTAGAAATCAGTTTTAAGAAGGATCTTAGAAATACACAAAGGCTACAATTCCAGCCCCTTTAAACAAGTTTTTTGGGAGGTTTTAGGGGAGTTGAATGAACACATCCTTCTGCTTGATTCTACCAGCTCAGCCAGCCTCCTGCTGACCAGCAAACATTGGTGGTATTCCTGTCAATGAAGCCTTGCAGAAAACCCTGAAACAGGACATTCCAAGGGTGAGGGTGGGGTTGGGCCCATTGAATCCTGTACATTTTCTGGGACTCAGTTGGGGTGGGGAATCTGCAATGCAAATGCCATATTCTGCAATCCAGCAATGTGCCTGCTTATATTTTGCCCTTGGTACACTAGGTGTACTTCTTATCAAGGAAGAACTATTTTGCGATTATATCCCCGGCAGTTTGTCATTCCAGGAAAAGACAAGGCTGTGCTATTTCTAGAAATGGGTATGGGCAGGTGAGAGCAAGCGGCAAACAACAAAAGATAATGTTTCTGGGTCAGTAGATGGTGGGGAACATTAATCATCTTGCATGTGGGAAAAGATCGTGTGGGACCAAAATAAACAGAGAGATCTTGACCAGTTCAACGGAGATAAACTGAGATGCGCCTGTGTTAATGGTGTCTGGAAGCAGCCCAGTCTGTTACAGAGTCACTCTGCATTGCTCCAGATCAATTCATTATTTGGGTATGAATCTGATCTGTGAAATAGGAAGCTCTGTTTTGCCACCGCTGGCCATAATGGGATTGGAGTACATTGACAAAGTAATTCACCATGATTAAGAATTTGAGCTGTCTGTCAACAGGAAAGATCCTGCACTTCTCCATCCCCTCCCCTCTCCTCTCCTGTACATAGAATTGTAGAATAGTAAAGCTGGAATAGATATCAAAGACCATCTAGTCCAACCCCCTGCAATGAAGGAATCACAGCTAAAGAATCCCTGATAGGTGGCCATCCAACCTCTGTTTAAAAAGCTTTCAGCACCTTCCAAGGTAGTCCGTTCCACTGTCGGACAACTCTTACAGCCCCCACTCCTGCTGAGCTGTGGATGTTCCTCTGAGCAGCTTTATTTCATTCCTCTGGAAATAAGAGGGAGGTTGTGTGTTCAACGTTTTGAGAAAATGGAGGTGACAGTGCTAGTCAGAAACTTAGAGAGTCCATGATGGTCATGCTAATGGTGCAACTTGGAAGCATAGTTAATGGGGCAACTCAGGAGTATGAGAGCCCGCCCTGAAACTCCCTAACCCCACTCTGTTTGGGGCCCACACAGACCAATGCACACCCTTAGGATCTCATCACCCTTTTCCATAGTGCTGCAGAATGAAGCTAGGCTGGAGGCATTGTGGGATGGGCAAACTGTCAGTTTTGGTTTTTCTTAGTTTCTCGTTTTCCAAGCTTTGTTTGCCACATCCCACCCCCTTTTTTTTAAGAAAAAGAAAAAGAACAAATCCTGGTTAAAAAACAGCAGCATTTTTCTGTTAATTTCTCCTAATATGCAGTTTGTTGTATGCTATTTTGCTTCATATACACATTTTTGCAAAGTGATCTCCCCTTATATAATGCTTTTCTTTCCATTTTTTCAGTCATATATGCAGTTTATACATGCTACTGGGCAGGAGAAACGCATTGCAAAATTCAAAGAAGTGCAAATTTCAAGGGATGGCTATCTTTCGATCCATGTGTTACTTCAGAAAGTGCAAATTAGGAAGCTTCAATTATAAATGCAAACTGGATCAAATTACCCCTCACGCCCCAAGTCTCAGATCTATGGGTCCCAATCTCAAAGCTGATTCATCTTCGTATTGGGATAGTTTTCCAGGGCAAATATAATTCCCGTTTCCGAAGGAGAGAGCGAGCGTCAAAACCTTTTTAAACATGCTAAACACTCACCTTTCGCCGGGTCCTTTTAATCCATCTGTGCCATATTTACAAGCCTGCATCATATTTTAGCAGATGCTGGATAAAGCAAGGAAGCCTGACTGCATACATTAGGAAGTTTATGAATGCCTAGCCTAGTAGCTCCTAGGCAATTGTTAAATACTAATGCAGGCTTTCCCTCCTGAACCTTTCCTTCCACAGATTGAACTTCAAGTGGTGTTTCTGCTCCTTTGATCCCTTTAATCTGTGTTTTGCTGCTTTATAACACGATTCACTTAGAAATACCATCGCCATGCCAGTCCCATTATTATCAAGCAAAGCCAAGAAAGGATCTGAGTGTGTTTATTATTTATGCAATGGCTACCTTGTTGAAGCGGAAAAAGCAAAACGCAGTAGGACAAATCTCTAGAGATGTGGCACCAAGTTACAACTGTCAACATTCAAGACAACAGAAATATGGGGAAACCGGTTGTATTCATTAAAATATAACAACTTGAGGATCTGCAAATCAACCTAATTCAACCAATGTAACCAAGTCAAGTATGTGTCTGCTGGGATAGCTCAGTAGGTAGTGCATGAGATTCTTAATCTCAGGGTTGTGGGTTTGAGCCCCATGTTGGGCAAAAGATTCCTGCATCACAGGGGGTTGGACTAGATGACCCTCATGGTCCCTTCCCACTCTACAATTCTATGATTCTATGTCTAGGCAGGCAAGTTGTAATAAATGGGGCATAACCGACCCCACTCATCACTGAGCAAGTTTACTGCTGCCACAAACTGTGCCCCCATAAAAGAGATGGCACTGTAATCACTCACAGATTATCAAAATATTGCTTTTTATGTACAACCAAGTGTTTTAGTACGCTTCTTAAGAAGTGCTAAAATAACTATTTTAGCTATTGATAACTGGGCAGGCTTCTGCCTCAGCCTTTAGGAACTCAAGTAAAGAACAAAAATAAAAGTTTACTTAAAGGGAAAAAAACCCCAAAGGCCTTTGATAGTGGTGTCGTATTCCAAGACTAGACAAGTTTCCTTTCCTGGTGACAAATCTTTAATGATGGGGTAAAAGGTCTACAGATGATGGATCAAGTAATTTATTCATTTGGACAATGGGGTTTGGTTATCAGATGTAGGGATGTGAAAATTCCTTTGAGTGCAGTTAAGAATTTGACTTGGCGACTGGAACTCCAGGTTACTGGGGAAACAGCTTGATTCCCTCATTCATCCAAGCTCAGTTCTGCAATTTGGAAGCCTGTTATGCTCTTGATTAAATCTTAGGGAGTACAATGAGGCACAAATGCCTTTCTTAAGCCTCCTACCCACGTGCCCCTTGTGTTATACCCTGCTGTCGCCTTCCCTCAAACTTTTCTGGCAGCAGTAGCAGTGAGGACTATCTCCTCCATTGAGTCAGGGACCCTAACATAGCAGCATCCCAGCTAACAGGAGCCCTGGGACTCAGGTGCCCTGGAAAACTACACATCCCAGTGTTCCTTGTTGAGTTCTGCATACCCAGGAGGTCATCTTACTTTCCAAGTTGAAGAATGATTTCATGGGGCCATAACACTCAATATACAATGCACTCAAGATGCAGAAGCCCATATCTGAATTGCTAGAGTTGCAAACAACTGTGTTTTACCCACGGAAATTAGTGAACCTAAATTAGTCATGTCCATTGATTTAAATAGGCCTACTCTAAACATGGGATATAAACCATAGTGTGTTGTGTTTTTCACACTGGAGTCCACGCTGAAGGGCTGTAGCTCAGCAAGAGAACATCTGCTTTGCATGCAGAATGTCCTGGGTTCAATCTCTAGCATTACCAGGTAAGGCTGGAGAGCCACTCCAATGTAGACAATACTGAGCTAGACTGAACAGTGTTGTGACACAGTCTAGGGCCATGTGTTCCTACTATAGGGCAATTTAAAAGCTATGCATTTCATGTGGAGGAGAATAATCCGCAGGGTGTCTCCTCTTCCTCCTCTACAGTGTTCCTTTCTTTTTCCAAAGCAGGAAGGCAAAATGTGTGAGATCTGTCTGACGCTAAGTACCTGAGAGAGGAAATAACGCTTTTAATAACAAGTGAAAGAGTGATCCCTTATGATGCTGGAAATGTCCACTTACAGTGAAAAATGAGTATTACTAAAAAGGTTTCATGTTGTTCCAGTCCAAGCGTGATGCCCAAGAAGAGAACGTGCTCTTGAACCAAGAACTGCAAGATGATGTGACTTTGCCACATTAGGAATGTCCCCAACAATGCTACATAAAAGGAACTGTGGGAAATTCAGATGGCAGCTCACAACTACCCATTGCTGATTGGTGCGTTGCCTCTGCCTCTTGCTACCACCAGCCAATCAGCCCACTGGAGTCAACTGGTGTAGAAGAGGACCCGAGCAGGAGTGGCCATCCTTTGTGGGCCAGTGGTCCCATTGAGATTTTTCTTTTAAGTCATGTGTGTCAGTCACAAAATGGCTACCATGGGGGCATGGCGCAAGATGGCTTCAAGAGCGGAAAAAGAGACAGGGCCACAAAATGGTGTGAGCATGCCGCTTCCCACATCAAACACCCCATAAGGGGGAAAGGTAAGTGACCGACCATCATGCTCACTCACAGAGAGAAGCTCATTGCACCTCTTCTGTATTCGGAACAGATGGGAGGGTGTGTGTCCAGTCCTAGCATCCAATGAAATGAGTCCATGTTTACCGGGAGGTGTTCCGTGTAGGAGAGGTGAAGCTTCTGAGCAGGAAATTCAAACTGTCTCTTGTCCATTACAGATTTTTGAGGCAATGCTTACAGAGACCTTTTGCAGTCCCACAGAAGGAACTAAACAAGCACAGTGGTGCCCAGGGGCACCATTCTGGCAACCCTTGCAAACAGAGGCGTGCTGTCAAGAGCTCACTCAAACCAGGAACCAGCTCTGTTCTGGATTCATCCCAACTTTTACGCCTTTGCCATTCTAGAGCTTAAGCTCAAGCCAGTCCTTGGAGTCTTTAACGGAATGTGGATCGAGTACTAAATGAAAGCGACAAACTCCGCTGAACAGCAGCACATGCAAGATCCCTTTCACTGATTTCCCAGGGAGTTGAACTGATAAATCATGTCTGACAAGAGCCATTTTAGCATCCAGACAAGATCTACTGAACTTACAAAAAAGACTCCCCCCGCCCTCAGCCGCCTGTGGTACATTACACTGAACTTAGCCAAGGACAAATGCCTATGGTCCACACATGCTGAATTAGGCCCTGGGCTTGCAGGGGGGTGGGGTGAGCTTACATATATTTAATTTTCTAAACTCATTACTTCCTCCCCTTCCTCCTGCGCCGTGCAGCATAAGAAAGAATCAGTCCCCTACATCGTCCTGCAGTTATCTAACCAAACGTACTATGAGCCTCCACATTTGCTCTATGCCACAGATACATCTTTCGACTTGAGCTGTAATGCGCACAAACAAACAAAGCAGTGCGCTCTGTGTTTCAAATTAACAATTACCCACTTCCACGGCAGGCTCTTCACATTGTATTCTGTGCTAGCCTCGCAGATCCGTATTTTATGAAATGTAAATTAATTATATTTTACATTAAACGGCTTGCGGAAAGTGGTTAAATACAAACTCAGGACTAATTAATCAGCACTGGTAGATTACAGAGGCTGAGTAATTCATGTAGGCAATCAACGAGATGTACAATTGCTGTCTGAGGGGACTTACAGTGCCTGCTGGGAGTTCAGACTTCTGCATATCAGGCTGAGGAGGCCTCTTTAGCACAGGTGGTGGGAGCTAAATCCAGGCCTCCAGGCCTACTTGACCCTTGGAACTAAGCCCAGGCCATGCCCCTCACTGGCTCTGCTTCAGCACCCTAAATATTGCTGCATGGCTTGAATGTGTCCATCAATCCTGACAATGCCTCCTGCTCCCCTGGATGGAGGGCAGTGAGGGACATGTGATTGAGCATAGAAAATGGTCTGCTGCACAAAGGTGAAATTTGCATTTGTTGCACCACCCACATTTAGAGCTCAAAGGAATCAAAGAAGCAAGCTAGTCCAGTCCTCCCTGCCCACGGCAGGAATCTTGCAACTGGAGCAGATGGCTGCCCACCAGGCTCTTCTTATCTCCTGCAAATAGGAATGATTGAATCTGTCAATTTCAGTTTCTCTCCATTTCACTCTTTTCCCAGTCTTCAGGTCAGTTCTCCTGAAGTTTTCACAAGCAATAACAATAATAAAGTCCTCGTAATAATAAAGCATTTGACTGTGAACTTCTAATAGACACATCTTTGTGCCCAGTTTCACCTAAAAGACACATTTTTGCACAGTGGAAATTCCCTTACATGATGCATTTTTGTATGGCACGTTGACTAATATATGCATTTACAGGCACACTTTACACCAGTTTTATGCATTTTTGTACACATTACTTGCCTGGAGACCCGCTCTGCAAAATTTGGATTTTGAAGGATGGCTGTGTTTCAGTTTGCATAGTATTTCAGAGAACTGGGTAAATCCACCTTTTAATATGAATGGAACTGAATTTCTCCTTCATCTCTACCTGCAAAGGAAGGCCAGGAGTAGCCAGGGTGGCGCTACAGAGCTCCCTTCCAACACTGGCACTGCGATGTGGGGGTGGGGAAGGACGGTGCAGAGGCCCGATTACACTGGCAACTTACCAAATTGGCTCTGCTAGTGTGCCCATGCAGCCCCTGACCTCTGCCATCCTCTTCCACTTCAAAGAGGTAAGCAACAGTGACACCGGTGTTGGGAGAACAGCTCCACAACATCACACTGGCCACTCCTGAGGAGGACCCAACTGAATCCCATTGTCAAACCACTCTTGATGTTTAGCCCCAAACCCACTTCCATCCCATTTCTCCTCATAAGTTCCAGGCCTGCCCTCTGGAGCAACAGAGAAAGACTTTGATACTTCTCCATGAATCCAGCTGGAGAGGCAGTGTTGCGCAGTGATCAGACCTGGACCCGGGACACCAGGGTTCAAATCCCCACACAGCCATGAAACACACTGAGTGACCTTGGACTAGTTACCAACTCTCAGCCTACTTCACAGGGCTATTGTGAGAATAATCTGGATTTTGGGGTAAGCCGTGTATGTCCCCTTAAGCTCCTTTGGATACAAATGCAATAATAAATAAAGTAGATGAATAACAACTATGCAGTACAAGAAACTGAATTAGTCTGCTGTTAGAACCACTTGCATAGACTATTGCTTGTGTTGCAATGTGTACAGCCATTGGGTTATCCTATCTTCCCAAAACCAGTTTTAAGAAAATGGACACTCATTTCAGAAACTTTTGGGGAACAATGTCCAATGTGAAGATCATCCACTGGGCTCCTCCCAAATTTGGTCCATGAAGAGCATCACTGATATCACACCCTAACCAGCAGCAGCCAATGGAATTGACTTCTCCATGCAGCTGCTACCTAGCAAGAGCAAAACAATACTATTGACATGCAGAGGAGTATCATGGCATGGGAAAATAAAGTGTCCTGTACCAGCAGCCATTTCTTATTCCTCTCATTTAGGAAGCGTGACAGCCACCGGGTGATGATTCCACTGATATCGAGCAGCAATCATTAGGAACTGAGGGGGAAATTACTAAAGGCATCATTCCGAGGG